ATACAAAATTGTTATTTTTTCTCCAATTTTTACAAATTTTCTAAAATCGGGATTATCACACTTCGATATTAAAAGATTTGTTTCACGACTACCTGAAAAATTCTAATTTATTCCTCTTTAATATATGGCTCAAAATCCTCATAATCGTGACATTTTATATTCGGGATTATCACACTTCGATATTGAAAGTTTTATCGCAAAACTACTTGAAGAATTATAATTTAATCCTCTTAAATTTATTGTTCAAAAACCGTACATTCGCCACATTTTATATTAGGGATTATCACACTTTGATATTAAATTTTTTTAGCACAAAACTACCTGAAGAATTATAATTTAATCATCAAAACTTGTTTATACCGAAACTTTAATTATAGAAAAAAAACACCAATGTTTTTTTTATCAATTAAATAATTATACTATAATTAATTAAGCGTAATTTAATGGAAAACCCTAAAACTGCAAAAAAATAAAATTTTCATCTCGAAATAATCTCCTGTTTTTTAAACATTTCATTAAAAAAAAACATTATAATTTTTTCTTGTTATTATTAAAAATCGTTAATTGCTTCTAATTACAACCGAGTTTATCAAAAATATTAATAATACATAATGAAAAAGCATAAAAGAATTGCATAATAATCAAAATACGTAACATCTATTTTTTAAGCTTTTTATAGTCGTGACCGAATTTTTTGCATCTCGAAATAATCTCCTAGTTTTTTTAAACATTTTCTTATATAAAATTTTATTAAAAAAAACACCATAATTATTTCTTGTTATTATTAAAAATCGTTAAAGTTTATCTAAAATATGAATTAATTAAGAATACATAATGAAAAAGCATACAATTTCTTAATCATTATTTAAAGCTACTGAGAATTGCATAATAATAAAAATACGTAACATCTATTTTTTACGCTTTTTATTTAAAAAAAAACCGCTGGGTTTTCCCCAGCATAAAAAGGGCACTATTCTATCCATATTTATAGCAACAATATATCATTAGAATGGTTTATATGCCTTTTTTATGCTGGGGAAAACCAGAATTTTTTAAAAATGTGTTCGCAAAAATCACGACAAAAAAGCTTAAAAAATAGATGTTACGTATTTTTATTATTATGCTTTTTTTGGTAGCTTTAATTAATTATTTTTTTGTCTTTGAGTATTATGAAATTTTATGTTGTTTTCATTGTGTAATCATAATTATTTAATTACTATTTTTGATATAACCATAGTTTGGGTTATAATAAAAAACATACAATTTCCAATTTAAAAAAAAAAGTTAATAAAAAAAAAATTGATAATTTAAAAAGAAAACAGTTTATGTAATAAAATGTTTAAAAAACTTTGATCATTTCCAACTTTTATTCTTATGCAATTTTAGATTTCTTCATTATGTATTTAATAAAAGTTAGATTATCACAGTTTTATCGTAAAACTACGTGAAGAATTATAATTTAATCCTCTTAAATTTATTGTTCAAAAACCTTACATTCGCCACATTTTATAATAGGGATTATCACACTTTGGTATTAAAAGATTTAGCACAAAACTAACTGAAGAATTATTTAATCCTTTTATTTTTTTATGCAAAAAGCTTAATTAAAGAAACAAAAAACACCAATGCTTTTTTTACCAATTTAAAATTGTTAATCGCATTTAAAAAAATCACTCATAACTTCTAAATAATTATGCTATAATTAATTAAGCGTAATCTAACGAAAAACCCTAAAACAATAAAATAAAAGTTCGGAATTCCCGAACATTTCATGAGCATGATTTTAATGACTTTTTATTGAAATTTTTAAACAATCATCATTTTTTGTTGAAAATAATTAATTGCATTTCAAAATTTCATCATTCATTATGACCAAATTGTTTTCATCTCGAAATAATCTCCTAATGTTTTTTTTAAACATTTTATTAAAAAAAAACATTATTATTTTTTCCTGTTATTATTAAAAATCGTTAATTGCTTCTAATTACAACCGAGTTTATCGAAAATAATTAATTAATTAAGAATACATAATGTAAAAGCATACAAATTCAAAATCATTATTTAAAGCTACTAAGAATTGCATAATAATTGCTTTTTATAGTCGTGACTTCAGCATATTTAAAAAAAACCGCTGGGTTTTTCCCAGCATAAAAAAGGGCACAGAAACCATTATATCCATATTTATAGCAATAATATAACATTGGAATTTTTTATGTGCTTTTTTTATGCTGGGGAAAACCAGAATTTAAAAAAAATGTGTTCGCAAAGTTTCGACAAAAAAAAGCTTAAAAAAATAGATGTTACGTATTTTAATTATTATGCAATTTTTGGTAGCTTTAATTAATTATTATTTTCGATATAACCGTATTTTGGGTTATAATAAAACACATACAATTTCCAATTAAAAAAATATAGATAATTAAAAAAAAAACAGTTTATGTAATAAAATGTTAAAAAAAACTTTGATAATTTCGAACTTTTATTCTTATGCAATTTTAGATTTCTTCATTATGTATGTATTTAAAGTTAGCTTCTATAACTTGTGGTTTAAATATCGTTAATAAAATGTGACTCTTTGAGATTATGCGGTTTTTGATCAATAAAATTAAGAGGATTATATTATATTTTGTGGTGTAGTTTTTTTAAATATGACAGTGTGATAATCCAAATTATAAAATATGGCTTTTCTAAAATATGCGGTTTTTGATCATTAAAGAGGATTATATTATAGTTTTCGATTTTGAAAAGATTTGTTGCAATCCTTTAAAATCGAAGTTTACCACCAAAGGTTCGAAGAAAAAGAAATTGGTTGCACAAATTGATTTCTTTTCTATTGGCAAACTTCATATGAATTTCGACATAAGCACAAACATATTGTATGCTGTCAGCATGGAAAAACCAAACCTAAACAGATGCGATGTTATATTGTACCTACAAATATGGATATAATGGTTTCTGTACCTTCTTTCATGTCGGCGAAACCCAGAAATTAAAAGGAACTTTTTAATTATGTTTTTTTAATTAATTATTATCTTCAATATAAAAGCTTATAATTACATTCAATTATAACCATTTTTAATAATTACAAAAAAAATCATGTTTTTTTTTATATAAACTTTTAAAAAGAATTTTAGATAATATCCTAATGTTCTTTTCAAGATGAAAAAAATACGATCATAATTAGTGATGCAATTTTGATATGCAATGTAATTATTTTTAATTAATACAAAAAAATGAAGATTCTATTAAAAAAAAAGTACGAATAAAATATTTGGGAAATCCAACTTTAAGTTTTTTTTTACAATTTTAGGCTTTTTCATTAATTAACTCTTAATTTATTAGTGCATAATTATTTCGAAGTGAGATAATCTTGGTAATTAGTGATTTACAAAACGATTGATGTTTTTTTTTTCTTTAATTAAACTTTTGGCATAAACATTTAAGAGGATTAAATAATCATTCTTCCGGTAATTTTGTGAAAAATCTTTTAATATCAAAGTGTGATAATCAATATTATAAAATGTGGCGAATGTGCGGTTTTTAAACAATAAATTTAAGAGGATTAAATTATAATCCTTCAAGTAGTTTTGCGAGAAAACTTTCAATATTGAAGTGTGATAATCCCGATTATAAAATGTGGCTTCTATATCGGATTATATTCAAATGCAAATGGGATTATATAAAAAAGTGTTTAGAAATTTATTATTCTAAGTAACTTACAAGTTGAGTGCAAAATGAATGAATAATTGTAATCATATTCAGATTTTAAAGAATTGGAACAAATAAGAATTTGTAATTAATACAAAATGATTGACAATTTAATATAAAAAAAAATCAGCATAAATTCATTTATGTATAAAAATGTTAAAAAAAAAACTTTGTGAATTTCGAACTTTTATTCTTATGTAATTTTGGGTTTCTTGATTATGTATTTATTTAAATAAAGTTGGCTTCTATATCTTATGGTTTCAACGGTAATAAAATGTGTTTTTTTTGGCGATTATGCGGTTTTTAAGAGGATTAAATTATTATTCATCAGGTAGTTTTGCGATAAATCTTTAAATATCAAAGTGTGATAATCCCGATTATAAAATGTGTTTAGAAAATGATTATTATAAAAGACAATTTTGTATTTTTATATAATTCTTATTAATAAATAAAAACAAATAATCAAAAGAAAATCAATATTAATATTTAATGCCTTTAGGCAATTTAGGAATTTATAGTAAGAGCTTTATAGTAATTTACTTTAGTGTCTGTAAAGGGGGAATTTATACTAAGAGATGTTGCGTAAAGCGCGGATTAAATTGGATAACGTCTCGCGTCGTAAAAAGAAATTACACTTTTGATTGGAATAGAAATTGAAATCGCGCGATCTAAATGTTTTGTAAGTGGAGCTATCGATGTTTGCACAGGGTGACAAAGATGAGCAATACATTTTTTTCGGACCACCCTCGATGTATGATTTGAGGTAATGTAACCCGTGCATAGGGGTTAAAAAAAAGGGGAATTGAAAAAAAAAACACTCGACGTTATTTATCATTGATTAAGTTTCGCTGAGAAACGGTACACGTGATGATGATGAAATCCGATATATTGTCGATGCGTTTCGTATATCCGTTAACATTTTTAGTTTGATAGAATAAATATTCGTGGTAATAAAACAATAATTCAATTACAAGTGTCATATGGCGTTAAATCGCGAATCACACTTTCAGTTATTGGATTAGTCACGTTTTTCGCAGTGTAATCCTGCGATTAGGGTATACCGACATTTAGGGTGGACACAAGGGCTTGGAGCGAAAGTTGGAAAAACCCAGATATTGCTTGAAAATGTGCAATTGAAGGAGTAGGAGTAAAAAAGCTGGAAAACCCCAGACTCTGTCCGTCGTTTTTAAAAGCTGGTGATCTAGGTGAAGGTACAATCATTCGGACAAGTCAGATCCTCCTGATAACATCTTCAGCAGCAGCTCAGAAAATAACAATAACTATAACCAAAAATGAAATATCTCGTTGGTTCAACTGATACATCTAAACAGATGGATCTCAAGGAGAAGAGCAAAATCGCTTCTAAGACGAGACGTGAACGCGAGAATTCCGAGTTCATGGAGTTGGCTTCTTTGCTGCCGCTCCCGACTCAAGTTAAAGAACAGCTTGATAAAGCTTCCATCATAAGGTTGACCACTTCTTACTTGCGTCTCCGGGAGCTTTACCCTCACGGGATGAGGATCATCCAGCATCCGGAGAACAAGGAAGGAGGCAGCTCCGAGATGATGGAGACCATCGACGGTTTCGTGTTCGCTTTAGCTCCGGAAGGACTAATTCTCTACATTTCGGAAAACGTGAGCATGCATTTGGGGATGGCAGCAGTAAGTTAAATCTCAACACTATCTTTAAACTTTGTTTACTAACGCATCCTTTTTTGTTTTAGATTGATATGACGGGTCATAGCATTTACGATTTCATCCTCCACGATGATCACAACGAGATGAGGGATATGCTCACCGTGAAGCACGACGATACGGACATGGGCAGAACCTTTTCGGTACGTATGAAGTGCACCTTGCCGAAGAGGACGGCCGGATTAACGCAAAACGGATACAAAGTTATCCATTGCTCCGGCCATCTCAAGTACAAAGCAAGTTCTCCAACGACTTCGGCCGACATCGAGTGCTTCGAAAGTTTGGGTCTCATCGCCATCGGTAATCCATTACTTCCAAACGGAATACCCGAAATCAAGATGGGCCCAAACATGTTCATGTTCAGAGCGAGCATGGAATTCGACGTCATCTTCGTTGACGCCATGGTCCACCGTCTCACTGGACACGAGCCCAAGCAGATTGTCCAGAACAGCATCTACCAGTACATTCACCCATTGGATCTTAAAGATTTCCAAGAGGCACACAAAGAACGTAAGTCTTAACACAATTTCAATAAATTCAACAAACAATAACATCAATTTTTATTTTGCAGTCTTAAAGAAAGGACAGGTGAAGACGAAGTTTTATAGATTCAAATGTGTCGACGGCGGCTACGTCTTCATGCAGAGTCTCGCTGTGATCGTCACCAATTCTAGAACGTCTCAGCCCAGATGCATCGTTTCGGTCAATTACATCATGAAGTAAGTTTCCTAAAATTAAAAAAAAATAATGAAACAATTAGAAAAAAACAACAAATACTTAACACATTTATTCTTATGTTTCAGAGATTGCCCGAGCCAATGCCCTGAAAGCCAAATCGTTACTTAAGTGTAAAAGATATAGCAAAAAAAATATTGTTGAATTATATTTTTTTTTTTGATATATCTTTTAAAGTGAACTGCATGCAATTTTTAAGACATTGTTTAAACAGAGATTGTTCATTTTTTAACCGGTTTAAATTATTTGAAAAATGTCTTTTTAATTGTTAAGTAAATTAATTGTAATTTTGAATAAATATTATTTTCCATGCATTACATACAATTATATTTATTATTGAACTTTAATATTTCATTTATGAAATCAATCTATGAAACTTTACTTTGATTTACACAATTTAATGAAATAATCAACAAAGTATGAATGAACATAATCGTTCTTTCTTATTGTATTCTTTTTTTTATTAAATTTACATACAAATAATTAACTTTTAAAAGTAAATTATTTGTAATTTAAAATTAGTTTTTATATTTCAGTTTGTTAAAAGATTAATGAAACTTGATCAAACATTGTTTTGATTTACACAATTGAATGAAAAAAAATATTAAAACAATCAGCAAATACTTAAATTTTCAAAATAATAGTAGTGTGTAATTATTTTGTAATGAACACAAATGTTCCGACTTTTTAAAACTAATTTATTTGTTCTTATTTTTTTTAATTATATACAAATAATTAAATTTCAAACAAGAAACAATTAAAAACAAATGGGTCCATATCGCAAGTCCGACAATCGAAAGACCGTCTATTGAAATCCCGACTGTATCTAAATTCCGACTATATCAAAATCTCGACAACCATAATCCCGACAAACATAATCCCGAATATATCAAAATCCCAACTGCATTAAAATCCCACCTATATCGAAAATTTTTACAATAACATTTTTAAATTATTTCGGAGCGTAGTCACCTTGTGCTACACTTTTATTATTAATAACAATAAATTATTATTAATTTATTTAAAACTGTTATTGTAGACATTTTCGATATAGTCAGGATTTTGATCCAGTCGGGATTATGGTTGTCGGGATTTCGATACAGTCGGCATTTCAAACGTAGGGATTTCGAAAGTCGGGAATTTGATTGATGGTATTGCCACCAAAAATAAACCTATAGAAAATAAATGACTTTTAAAAATAAAAGTAAAATCAATTTGATAAATTATCAATGAAACTTGATCAAATACATTATTTTAGTAACACAATTGAATGAAAAAAAAATTAAACAATCAGCCAATTATGAATGAACATAATCATACTATTTTTTTACTACTGTAACTGTTTTTTTTTAAATTTGTAATTCATATAAAAATAATACAATTTTTAAAGTTTAAATTATTTTTAAATATTGATACTCAATATTGACAAATCTATATGATTTTTAGGAAGTATCAACCTTCAGACAACGCCTGTCAAAATTTCATGACAATCTGACGTTTATTTCACAAGTTATAGTGGTTTTAGTGACGCTACTTTTGTATGCAAAATTATATTCAAACGCAGTCATTGAATCTTAGTTGTTATTGGATGAATTGTTAAATTGGACCTAAATCATATACTTACTTGATATTTTATACCAAATAAAATACTTAGAACAAAATATAATTTTTTTAAATATATTATCCTAGAAGTTAAAGAACTACCATTTAAAAAAAGACAATTAATAGAGAAATTTTAAATTTTAATGAATTAAAATCTGCTAGATTATGTTGTAATTTCAATTAAATTAACAAAATTTATATTTAATTTTAGTAATGTACAGGTTTCATTCTACAAAAATATATATAATTTACATAACGTTACGTAAGTGAACAAAAAATAAGTGGTCTTGAACGTATTAATTAGTTAATTTCATAAGATAAATCTTAAAAGTTTAAAAAATAATAAATTAATTATAATATAAAATTGTTAATTAATAATAAAAAAAAATAATTAATCACTTTCACAATGTTTTTAATAAGCCTTAAATTAAACATTTTATTAGAGATATACATCATGTTTATAGATTGTTTACTTAATTATTGTTTACCTTTTAAATTGGTGCAAGTATCAATTATTTCTTTCAATAGTTCACTTAATTAGTTAATTGGAGAACGAACGCAAAAAGCGGTCGCAGATATTTCCAGGTCGATAGCTTTGTTATACACGATGGTAAATTGAATATATCAGAAGGTATTTTCATGAACATTTGATCATGACAAAGCTTTGTTCGAAATGGGTAGCGCATTCAAGTTTAAAGTGGACAAAAAAAATAACAAGTTGATGATTCCTAGCCTTGTTTTGAGCTGCTCAAGCGAGTTAAAAAGGTTTTTTTTTCATGTGTTATGTAACAATGAATGAAACCTGGATTCACCACTATACTCAAGAGACAAATCGGGCGTCAGTTGATAAATCGTTATACAAGAAAGGAATCGAAATGTTAGAGAAGCGTTGGTATGAATGTGTCACTCTAGAAGGAGTGAATAAAGTCGAATATTGCCCAAAAGTTGTTGTTTTATTATTCATCATACAAACTTATAGAGTGAAGTGTTGTGTCTTCTTACTTATTAAGCAAATTATTTATTTTGAATACATTTGTAAATATAATTTTCATTCAATTTAATAAAAAAAAAACCAATCTGATTTGGATTTTATATTTGATAATGGAATAAAAAGCAAAGAAAAGTTACCAAACTCAAGACAAACGTAATTTTAAAATCATGTTACAATTATTTTATTTATATATTTTTTTTTTGTTATAAAGTGAATTATATACATTTACATTATTTAAATTAATGAGAATTGCACTGAAATTCTTTATTTTATTGGGAAACAATGTGTTTTGTTTGTTGTTTTAATTAATTCTTATATTTTTGCATTATTTAATTTGAATTGGATTTGAAATGAAGATCTTTAAATTAATAATTTTGTAATGTAAATAATCTTTTGTAAATCTACTTTATATTTAAGTTGAAAATTTCATTTTCAAAAGGATCAATGAAACTTGATCGCACACATTTTTTTTTTGATTAGATAATTGAATGAAGCGTAACGAACAAAACGAAAGAGAGCGAGAAAAAAAAAATGCTTCAAAGTATGTCCGTGCATGAAACGCGAGGATTAAGGGCTTTACCATCATCATCTCTTCCTATTTTTTCTTTCTCTTCTCTTCTCTCCTCTCATTCTTTATTTTCTCTCAGACAATGCCACTGCTCTTTCTTCTGCTACCCAAACAGCGAAAGCTTTCTTATGCAAAACTCCTGCGTTTATTTGAATACAAATGGGGGACACGCAACCCCTGCGACAGAACCGTACTTCTATTTCTGTATATTGTGAAATGGGCATTCTTTCACGCCCACGTAATAATCACGTTAATATTTGTCCAATAAATACAATTGCTGAACACATGTTCGGTTGCAGAAGGGCGCGTTTCCAAATGGATTCATTTGGTAATCCAGGCAATAAAACTGGACTGCTGTTATAATGTTTGCTTTGCTTCTGAAAACAATATTTATTCTGAAATTGTATCCATAAATACAGGTTTATCAGAAATAATAAATCATATGAACATACTTAATGAATATAGTCATACCTCGATTAACGAATTGGGTGCAGTTCACGAAAATCCTTCGTTAAGTAAAACTTCATTTTCAGAGATAAACATGCTAATTTCTAATTAAAAGCTTACAAAGTGAAATTGTTTCTCCTTTCATTTATTAAATGGAATTGTTACATTTAACACTGATCACTTTCAATAATATTTCTTCATTAATTATGATACATTTCACTAAAAAAAATAAAACTATTTCAATGTCATTAAGGACTTTTTTCTAATTATTTGATTGTTAACAGTAACTTCTTTGATTGATGATATAAATATAATTAATAAATACAGTCATGCCTCGATTAACGAATTGGATGCTTTTCACGAAGTTCATTTTCAAAGATAAACATGCTAATTTCTAATTAAAAGCTTTTGTTCGAACAATGAAAAGTTTTCTTAAATACATAGTGAACTTAAATATTTATTTAATGGAATTATTACATTGAACACTATTACTTACAATAACACTTCTTCCTTAATCAGTATAAATTTCACTAAAAAAGAAAACTGCCATTTAAAGACTTTTATTTAAAATATATGATTGTTAACAGGAATGTCCTTGATTGATGATATAAATATAATTAACGACTACAGTCATACCTCGATTAACGAATTGAGTGCGTTTCACGAAATTCCTTCGTTAAGAAAAACTTAAATTTCAGAGATAAACATGCTAATTTCTAATTAAAAGCTTTTCTTTGAACAACGAAAACTATTCTTAAATATATAGTCAACTTAAATACAATGTGAAATCACATTTGAAAATAAGAGTGTAAAATTGAATGTTTTTGCTTTCACTTATTTAATGTAATTGTTACATTTAACACTGATCACTCACAATAATACTTCTTCATTAATTACGATACATTTCACTAAAAAAATAAAACTATTTCAATGTCATTAAGGACTATTTTCTAATTATTTGATTGTTAACAGGAACTTCTTTGATTGATGATATAAATGTATTTAATGAATGTAGTTATACCTCGATTAACGAATTGGATGCGTTTTACGAAATTCCTTCGTTAAGTAAAACTTCATTTTCAGAGATAAACATGCTAATTTCTAATTAAAAGCTTTTGTTTGAACAACGAAAAGTTTTCTTAAATACATAGTCAACTTAAATACAATGTAAAATCACATTTAAAAATAAGAGTGTAAAATTGAATGTTTCTGCTTTCACTTATTTAATGGAATTGTTACATTTAACACTGATAACTTCTTTATTAATCAGGATAATTTTAATTACAAAAAAAATAAAACTTTTTCAATGTCATTTTTCAATATTTGAGTGTTAGCAGGAACTTCTTTGAATTTGTCTTCATTGCTTACAAATTTATCTAAATCTTCTTCTTTTGAATTTAATAAATATTTAACCACTTCTTCATCAACATTTTCGTAACCTATAGAATTCTGATTTGAAGACATCCGGATAACTTTCTTCCTAATTTCATGAATGTTATTTTC